TTATTCTGGTCACTCTTATTCTTAAGCAAAGTGACTATTCCCTGTAGTAACCATTAGTATAGAATCCAAATTTCATTTTTCTAAGTACAGTTTTTATTGCTCACTTGGGGGATTTAGGAACAAGACTCACATTCACCATTCTGCCATTATGAATTATATGTTAGGACTCACTCTGTTTAGTTATATCTACATTTTTTACTCTAATCAAAAAAAAAATCAGGATGTATAATTTCAATAGATTACCTTCCAGCAGAAACCTTGGTATTTTATTACCACGAGGCAACCAAACTCTAGTAGAACAATCCTAATAGAAAATGAATCCTTTCAGATTTTTGACAGGTAAAAAGCATAGGGTGAATCTTTCTGTTCTACTTATTTTAAGACTGGAAGACAAAACCAAAGAGAACACAAAATGAACAGACAATGCCACAGAGGATATAGGGATGGACAAATATTTTGAAATAAGAAACCAGAGACCTCATGGATACCAATAGAAAACATAATAATTAATAATCAACAGGGTGATAGATGAACAAATAAAAACATGAATCCTTCCTGTCTAGCCCTCAGAGCATCAGAACACCCTAAAACCAACATGCCTGAGGGAAAGATTCTCTACCACGAGTGGCAGTTGCTTACTGAGGCAGAGACTCTGGGATGAGCTTGGAAGCAAATGTGATTGTAAAAAGCCCGTCTAAGTGAATCTGGTTGACCTTGGGTAGGATAGGAGAATCTGCTGGCAGAAATCCTGCACTAACAAGTCCAGCAATTGCATCCTACTAAAAGCTTGTAGGCAAGACTTAGTAAGCAAGGAGCCTCCCAAACTAGCATCTACAGAAGAAATGCAATTACCAAGATCAAAGCAGAAACAATGGTCAATCGTTGTGCCACAAATATATTCCTAAGAACAGAGAAGGATGCAAAAAAAGGACTAATGTAGAGGAAGTAAAATGGACTAAAGACACAAAATGCTAGATAAAGAACAAATAAACTTTAGTACTTTCATGGGGGCATAGTTTGTTTGGGGGCATTAGCTGTAGAGAATTGGATATGTCCACAGGCTAAAACACCCATAAGGTTCCCCCAGATCCTGTGTTCTCTGCAGGTTATAGGAAGCTATTTATTTCTCAACCTCATGAGGTTCTGGAAAACACACAGGTAAGAAATAAATTTTCATCTCTGGCAGTCCTTAGTAGTTACACTTCCTAGCTGTTTAGTAAGGTGTTCCTGTAAGTAATTACCTCGAGGGGAGTTTGTGGTGAGACAGGAACATGAGCAAACACTACAAACCACCCAGCTTGTTCTGCTAGACAGAGTCATTCTCTAACTTGGCCTTGCCTAAAGGCCCCTCAGGCAATTGGATTTCTTAAAGCAGAAAGACTCTTAAGCAAAACACATTGCTCTAGTGAAACAAACAACTGAAACCTTATTAACAGATCCCACCTGCATGAGGTTATGGGGAAAAGAGGAGGAGAAAGGACTTAAGTTTTGTTGATAATTAACACACAAAGAACATAGAAATCTTCTTCAAAGGCTACTGTGCTATAAAGCATCTGACCTTGGATAGCAGAAGTTAGACCCAAAGAGATGCTGGCCTCTTACCATGTGGTGTAACAGGCCTCAGGGGACGAGCAGGTGACCTCGTGGTTACCCACCCAAGGCTAGTCCACTACCCTTCTTGCTGGCAAAGCCTCGATTTTGTTCACATGATCCCTGCACGGACTGGGCCAGGGCTCAGTGATGTGGCTTTTCACCCAACACTTACCCATGAGAAGTAAGAGGAAGTCAGTTCCAGGAAAGCCTCCTTGGCACTTAAAAAGAGGCACAAGGGGAAGAGCTCCCCTCTTTCTGCCTCTGGATATTGACACGTGAGGATGCAAATCTCAATCTGTAACCACTTTAGGACCATGAAGGGAACTAACCAACACACCAAGGCTGACAGAGAAAAAAGATGCAAAGAACCTGGATCTTGATAACATGTGGAGTGGACCAATTAACCAACCGGGCAGCCAGCCCACCTCCAGATCTTGGGGAGTATGAGATAAGTATCCCCTGGACCACTTTAGCTAGGCTTCCTGTTACTCCAAGTGGAAAACATTGTAACATACTGAACTCCACAAGCTCCACCTGTAACCTTTATGTCAAGTGATTGAATACAAATAAAAATGTTTCTGTTCATGGAAAATTCTTGCCGTTCCATGAACAGCAAATGCAAAGGCAATTTCGTCGCTAGTTTGTAAATGCTTTGTCACTTGCCTCCTCCTCTCCTCCACTCCTCAAACTAACAAATTCCTGATCATTCTTAAAAACCTCCATGATTCCCCTTCCCAGCTCTTTTAGGAACATTGCTTGTTCCCTAATATTATTTCCGTGTACTTTGTAACTGTCTACCCAACAGCATTGTAGTTATCTATCTGCAGCTGTCCATGTGAGTTCTCTGTAAAACAGACAATGTCTTATCCATATAGACCTAGCACTTAACACAGGGCCTGATACTAAGTTGATGTGGCAGTTTTAAAATACTAGATGCTTGACATTCCTTCCACTTGGAGGTAGGTCCATGCCCCTGCCGTTGAATCTCATGCAGCTTCAACCACAGTAGAGTAGAAGGGGTGCTGTATGATTCTGGGGCTAAGTCATAAAAAGGGTCCTGCAGTGTTCACCCTTAAGATGCTTGCTGGGGAGATTCCCCATGCTTAAAGAGTCCAACTGATGCTGGAGGACAAGTGATCTGAGAGATCCAATAGCCAGCCTCAACCCACCCTGTCCTCTTACCAGGTTCTTGACTCTGCCACATGAAAGAATTCAAGGGCAGAGTCACAGTAGAAAGTGAGAACAGGTTTAATGCAATGAAGAAGAGATACGGGGCCGGCCCGGTGGCACACTGCTACAGTGCACCGCTTGGGAAG